TTGAAATGTATTGAGTCAGCTTCAATACATTCCAATGGAGGATACATTGTTTCGCTTAGCGATGTTTCCTATGGGTTTTTTCGCTTAACGACGGCAATCCGTTCCAATTGGAACGGATTAACCGGTTTCCAATGCATTCCTATGGGAAATGGTGTTTCGCATAGCGATGGTTTCACATAGTGATGTTTTTTTTTGGAACGAATTAACATCGCTATGCGAGGCACCACTGTATATCAAAGTTATTTATTTGCCTGATTTCCAAATTCTCGAATCTTTGCACTTCCTTTACAGCAGGAGTGGGCAAAAGGAGCTCCCTCAAAATATTTTGGCCATAAACAAGGCCAGCTGGGTCCCCACAAGATTCTACCAAACATTACTAACTATCCTGTCTCATTTTCAGCCTGGCACAGGGCTGCTTTGGTTTTCATGGGACCCTTTTTCAAAACAAAAAGTGAGAAGTGTAGAGTAGGTAAAATATGGATAGAAATAAAAATACTTTTCCAAACATGTTTAAAGTGAAATGAGCCCAAGCTACTTCAATAAGAATTCCTTGCCTTGTTTAAGCAAAGAATATTTTTAAAATGAGATGATTAAAAAGGGGGAAAGGTACAATGAAGAAGACAGGAAAAGGTAATAAAGGGGGATGATATGCCAAAATAGGGCTTCTCAGCTGTAGCCCCCCAACTTTGGAACACCCTCCCTATAGAGATCCGCCTGGCTCCAACACTCTTGGCTTTTTGGCACCATGCAAAGACCTTTCTATTTAGCCAGCATTTTAATTAAATAGTATATGGCTGGCCCTTGGAGCAGCAGGATTTATCAATATTAAAGTTTTAATGATTGTTTTTAGTATAGGGTACAGTGGTGCCTTGATTTACGACCATAATCCGTTCCAGAAGATGAACGTAACTCGGAATGGTCGTAAGTCAAAGCACCATTTCCCATAGGAATGCATTGGGACGGGATTAATCTGTTCCAGCAGGAAAAACCCCCACCAAAACCAAACAAAACAAATAAACAAAAACCATGGCCAGCCCCATCAGAACGCGATGGGGCTGAAAAACAAAGCCAAAAAAACAAAAACCCAAAACAAAACACTCCCACACGATGGAGCTGAAAAACAAAGCAAAACCACACCCACACACCCACAGTCCGTTCCACTGGAATGCAATGGGGCTGGAAACCCCCCCACAAAAACACCCCCCACACATAGCACAGAAACATAAACCCCCCACCCAAACCCATGCTGCAAAACAAAGTAAATGTACTTATTCACAAGCAGAGAGGAGCACCAGGCAGTCCAAAGCCTCCTCCAACGCACACTCTAACCGTTGGGGCGAAAGAGCTACAAAGAAGCTCTTCGCCGACCAACAGTTAGCCCTCTAATTTGAATTCCCCGCCTTTTCCCCCTGCCTCTTTTGATCGCAACTCAAAGCTCCGGATGCAAGTCGAAGCTAAATTTTGCGGTCGGAGCTGGTCGCAACTCAAAATGGTTGTACAGTGGTGCCTCGCATAGCGAGGTTAATCCGGAACGGATTAACCGTCGCTATGGCGAAACATCGCTGTACGAAACGGGGAAAGCCATTGGAAGGCATTAAACTTAGTTTAATGCGTTCCAATAGGCTCCAAAACTCACCGTTCAGTGAAATTGCTCCATAGCCGGCAGCCATTTTCGCGCTCTCGGTAAGTGAGGGGAGGCGGTATGCGATCGCATTTGCGATCGCAAAAACCTAATCGCTATGTGATTTCGTCATTATACGGTGCGCTCGTTAAGCGAGGCACCACTGTATTTCAGGACGGTCGTAAATCGAGGCACCACTGTATTAATATAATATTGCCTATTTTTCATGGTTTTAATGTTTTTAAAGTTTTAATATTGTTGTATGCCGCTCAGAGACCACTGGTAATGGCATGGCTAAAAAAAATCTTGTAAACAAACAAATAAACAAACAAACAAATGAAGGAAACTCCTTAAAAAAGAGGGGAGGGGCAATACAGGAGGAATGCATGAGACAAGAGAGAGAGAGACAGAGAGCAAGAAATAAAAGGAAATAAAAGAAAGCAGAAAACAACAAACAGAGCCTGCATGAACACTTACGAGCAGGATCTGGCCAATCGACAGAGTCCACAAGCAGGCTTTCTCATCAAGTACATGGGCCAGCCATAAGCAGCCAATGCAAAGAGCATATAGTAACAAACCTCTTTGTATCGCAGCATCTCTTGCTGGAAAAAAGAAAAGAAAATTCCAGTGTTCTGATGTCATAATTAGAGTTGTCTCTCTGTCACGCTCAACACTTTCTAAATAAATAACAATAAAGAATTTTTGATTAAAGCTCTACACCCTAGCCATCTTGAGGGAGGATCACTGGGGAGTATCTGTGCATGTGCAATAAAGGTAAGGAGGACAAGGCTTAAACCTAGAACATTCTGATCCCTCGAATATTCTGACTACTGCTTAGCACAGGCGCAGAACCCATATGTGGGAATCACAGTGACCATGAAATAGTACTATAATTATTGCTATTACAGGAGCATATTTCAGCCTGATGTACAACCCACATTCTGACACAGCCACTGAACAGACTGGAAAATTTCATTTCGGATTTTGAAATAGCTGCAGTTCAGCGGAATTGCAGATAATTTACACTGTGGACTGCTAGCAAGCCAGGATCATAAACATCCATGTATCCTGACCTAGTTTATATATTGACTAGAGTTCTACCATGTACAGAAAATAATAAAGAATTGTGGTTAATTCAAAAGTGGGAGTGAAAGTTCCCACTCTTAGAAACTATGTCAGCGAGAAGAGTGAGAACAGGAAGCATATGAACTTAATCACACCAAATTTCACTCTGACCATTTTAAACCATAATTTAGTCCAATGGGCAAAAAGGACCAAGGAGTTTCAGCCTCACAACTGTTCAATGATTCTTCTTAGGCCAAAAGCACATTTTCACTTCCTTTTTCAGGTATGTTGTTTAAGAATATAAGACAAAAAATTAACCTACACCAATGAAAGGATTCCAGCACATATTACAGATTAATTGTCAACTTGCATGCTATGTCCAAGGAATCATCATGCTCCCCTCCTCAAAATGAGACTGATGATATGCACAAAAAACTTGTAATACTCAATTTAACTGCTCACCCTGACAAACATCTGCTCTTCTGAGTGATCTACGTATGCCAGCAGAGCTACTCTTCCCTTGTGTAAACTAGGTAAAAAGGAGAGATATCTAACAGGAGTTTGTTGGTCCAATACCTTACTCACATGCAAAGTTATCTGTAGATGTCAGAATACCATCAGGTACTGGAAATAACCCGGAAATTTAGAGGAAAAGAGAAAAGGCTGATTTGCATGGTACCATACATATAATCATGCAAAGCCATTTCCAGATTAGAAATACAGTGTAGTGCTTTGGTGACTAAATGTTTTATTCTCTTTCTTCCTAGGACAATGAAGACTCCATACTGGACTACTAGAAAATTCAACACTAAGATATCCTTGCTTCTTCTAGTTCTAATTCTAAATAGCTAGACAGATTTGGAGGCACAAGTGGGTAGGACAAGAATAGATTGAGAGAAGGGATAACAAGGATATAGTTGCAATTTGCCAGAAAAATATATGGGTGTATTTATGAGCTAAATATTATCTTTTCTATTTCTATGATTAGCTTAGAAATCTGCATGAAAAAAAGATGACACAACTGCTTTCTTTGGTCTGCTGAGCTGGTGTACAGTATAAAATTTAATGGCCCAATTACCATTAGAACGTGATAACTTACTGAGTTTTTTAAGTCCAAATATTTGGTGTTCCTGGTTACTGGCATCCCTGACAAGAAGGCAAGGATATCATTGTTTGCCTATAAATCAAAACACATATTACAATAAGCTAATTCAATTGCATCATTTTGATTGTATCTAAGACACTGTAAACTGAAACTGAATTATTCTTAATACATCCTGCCAAAATGTCACAATCTTTAACCTGCTTTATAACTTCTCTACATTCTGGGCTAGAGATAGGGGTATTAACATATGAATATCGCCGCACAGCTGGACTTAATGAAGATCCAGCCTCTGCGGCCGGCCCATCCACTCAAGCGTGCAGCCTTGGTCATCGCTCCCGAAGGTCCACTCTCTTCCTGTTTGCCTGGCCACTCCAGGGAGTTAGGTCAGGCGATGGGGAAGAGAGCAGAGGGAGGGAGAAATTGGAAGGATGAGTGAGGTCGGCCCTCGTCAACTCCAGCTGTGTGGGGATATTGGTATACGAATACGTACTCCCATATCTACTTTAGGCCTTAAGAAACTGAACACCAGATTTCTAGCTGCTTAAAGAATAACTAATTTATTATGAGAATCCACTTCAGGTGTACCTGGTGAAATGGATTATTATTTGCAAGAGTTCATAAAATCTTTCTTTCTTTTTTTTTTCTTTTAGAACACCACAGAACCTAACGCATAGATGCAGCATATGAAATGCAATAATATGTATGTTTGTCTTAGAGGTATTTTAAAAATACTCCTTATTGGTGCTGATACAACAGGCTATCATGGCTATCATAATCGAAGTTGTGATCACTAATCTTGTAGTTAGTAATCCCTGCACTGATACTCCCAAGACCTGAGTTAAAGTTCTGCCCTCTCTTAAATTGCAGAGTACAGCTGCTGGCTTCGTTTTAACCATGGTCCTGCCTGTAGATCAATACATTTAAAAAGATTTTACTTAAATGGCATACCTCCAGATCTACCTCATAACATAATGCAATGACACTTTTGACACTATTCTTTAGGACATTAGTTCTAAAAAAACCCGATTTCTTCTCTATTTCGATGTGTTTATGAAAACAGCAGTAGTAATGAATTACTGGAAAATTTCAGAGTGTGGGAAACTACACTGGTTTTTTGTTTGTTTGTTTTTATTATTAAAACTATTATATATCACTAGAGGATGACTGACCCATATCTTAGCTGTAGCTGGGCTAAAGATTACTAATGTGGACAAAGATTTTAGTTTTCCAGGTCCATAACTGAACCTGAAAACTAAAATAGTGCTTGACTCTAGGTCAGATTAATTTACAATTATTTTAAATGTTTTTGTAGAGAAAAAGCACAGAATGCATTTGCATACTTACTTCATCTAGTACTGCATTGCGTTTTGCTCTTTGCCGCTGACGAAGAAGCACCAGACCTGCTATGATATCAGATGGGACGATGTCAAGGTCTCGGAAAAACTCAGCAAAAAGATATGCGATTTCAGAGTAAGCATCCTGAAAAATCCAAAGAGGAAGAAATGGGACATAAATCTGTCACAGGGAAAAGATAAAGAGCTGCACCTTGTCAATAGGCTGGTCCTGAAAACTTCTTTTTCAATACACATTTTCAAAATTCCCTCTCTGATATAATTAACACTCTGATTCATTTTTCATATATCATTTCTGGCTCCATCTAAACACACAACTTTGCTAGATTTATCAGTCACGCTTATTTCCTACTCTTCCTCCGAGAAGCTGAAAGTGCTAATGAAGTTTTACTTTATTTTGTTGCATAAACAATCACACTGATTAAGCTTCAAGGCTAAATGAAAATTTGAACTCAGAGCTGAGATTCTATCCAAGATATCTTCATGTGTCACATATGCCAAAAGACCACATATGTCTATTTTCTAATGCTACCAACTGCCAGTCAGATAATTCTGGGAAGCTCACAGCAAGGGAAAGCTCCTGTAGCAGTTTGAGAGGGCCACATTTTTTAGGACTGTCATGGTTGCTACAAGGTATCTCAAGTCCCAAAAGCCATTCCAAACAACAATCAAAGATGGAAGTGAAGGTCTGGTCACTTCTGGTTTTGATTTCCCTCCCATTAAAAAAAAATCTAGGCATTGGGGTATTGAGAATATAAATTTGACTACCAGGCTCCTCAAAGTTGCCCATCCTTGCTATAGGGACACCAATAGCACTCCCATTTTATCTGCACCAAACACAGTAGGCATGAACCAATTTGTATAAATAATCATGTTTAAAAAGGAGTACATCCACTTCAAATTCTGTGGTTTTATGTATCAGGACTTAATAAAAATCATTTGGTCCTTAGCAGGTCTGAAAATTAGCTAAAACACAACCTCAGATGACAACAACACATAAACTCTGTGCCATGATATTTTACAAAACTAAAGCCAAAATGGACCTTATGTTTCCACAGCTTGTAGAACCACCTTTAGCAGCAATAACTTGAAGTGACTGTTTTCTGTTTGAAAATGATTTCTGTATCAGTCCCTCACATTGTTGCGGGGAGCTTTTCGCCTACTCTTGTTTACAATATTACTTCATTGAGGTTTGTGGACATTTGTTTATGCACAGCTACCTCAAGGTCCCGTTACAGGATTTCAGTTGGGTTGAGGTCTGGACTTTGCCTGGGCCATTGCAACACTTTGATTTTTTTATTTTTCAGCCATCCTGTTGTAGATTTGCTAGTATACTTGGGATCCCTGTCCTCTTGGATGACCCAATTTTGGCCAAGCTTTAGCTATCGGACAGATGGCTCCAGAAATCTAGATGGCTCTAGATTTGACTCTAGAATACTTTGGTATACTCAGCCATCCTGTTGTAGATTTGCTAGTATACTTGGGATCCCTGTCCTCTTGGATGACCCAATTTTGGCCAAGCTTTAGCTATCGGACAGATGGCTCCAGAAATCTAGATGGCTCTAGATTTGACTCTAGAATACTTTGGTATACAGAGGAGTTCATGGTCGACTCAATGACAG